GAATTACATTTGTTTCATCTATTTATTTATTTATTTATTTATTTGTCTATTTGTTTCTTATCATACTCTGTATTATACAGAGGAAATTATTCAGGGTAGGACTAAAACATACGGAGTAGCATTCTTCTTAAAGTATGATCATATGTTTGATTTTCCTTAAATAGGACTAAATATTACATATTCACCCCTAATTTAATTAATTAATATAAGTAATTGTCCATAATTTCCTTGCATAACCAAATCGACTTTGTTGGTGGCGGATCACTCTGATGACGACAGCGGGGAACTCAAGTGGCGGAGGCGGACAGGCAGATCGGTAGCGGAGGTCTAGGTGAAAATTTCGACGACCAGCAGTGGTGGTTCGCATTTAAAAGTCTATGGACTTTTTGAAAGTCAATAAACTTATCCATGGATTTAAAAGTCCATATAACTCATTCATAAAAAAGTCTATGGATTTAGAAGTCCATTGACTTCTTTAAAAGTCCACGGATTAAAAAAAATCCACCACAATCCATATTCAATACACCCCCCTAAAATTTTGACAAATAGGACTAAATCTGGCAGTTCGGCGGTGGAGCTCTGACGCGTCTCCCAAGCAAAACTGACAGAAAAACAAATCTGAAATTTGGGTCGTGTTCTGGTGGCGGCATCGGGGAAGCTGCACGATGGCCGTGATCGGTGGAAGTGGCCAGAGGACAGAGGGTAGCGGCGGCGGCTGGGCGGAGCAGTCCAAAAATCTACAGGGGTATATTTGTCTAAACATGCAAAAGTAGTCCAATTTAGGCCGGAAATTTAAAACAATGAAGTCCTATTTGTACTTTTTATCCATGTTGTACTCCTATTTAGGTCATTCACTCTTTTTATTCTTTTTTTAGTCTGGAGCATCCATAGAGTCTGTCACAACTCCTATTTGTCACAGTTGTTAAACCCTAGGCTATCGGTATAGAGATTTTTTTAAATTTGAGATGGATCAAGATTAGTATAGTGGCATGGCCCCATTGCCTCCACCCATGGGCATGCTTACAAATCCACGTGGTCGCAATAGCAAGTTAATGGTTAAATCAAAACAAAGAAGAGCGAATTCCTAAAATGAGAGTAAAACATACTCAAATTGCAAAAATAGGAGTAGGTGTATACAATTCTTAAATAAGAGTAATTTGATGTAAAGTATTTAAGTTTATTTATATAGATGTAAAAGTATACTAATCAGACTAGCTGTTTTAGATGTAATTATGTTTTTTTCGAAGTATACTAATTAGACTAGCTGTTTTATATTTATATAAGTAAAAAAGACATACAGAAGATTAAATTCTATGCTTTGTACTAATTATTTAGACCATAAAAACTTTATAGAGTACTATATAAGAAGTAAAATATAAAAATATTAATTACATACTTTAATTATTTATTTAATATATATATATATAAATTATATTATTTTTTTACATATTAAATACGTAATATACAACATAGTAATTATGTGTACATTGTATTGTATAAAGTAAGGTAATTTATGATTGTATTAAAACAAGGGGAAAAGGTCATATAAACCCTCGAACATACATAAAAAGGTCAAATAAGCTCTTATATAAGAGGCTCTGTTCGGCCGTCACCATTTAGGGTGGTTTCCGGTGGAAGTTTTTGATCAACTTTTTTGAGAATCTTACTCATTAAGTCTAGTTTACTCATACCAAATTTCAGCTAAAACTTCAATCGGGAAAGCATTCAAATGAATTTTTGAAGATAATTGTGCAGTTATCTTCAAGAGTTCATTTGAGTGCCTTCTCGATTGAATTAATAGCTGAAATTTGGTATGAGTAAACTAGATTTAACGAATAAGATGCTAAAAAATTTCATCAAAAAATTCCACCGGAATCTACCCCAAATGGCGATAGCTGGAAAGAACCTCCTCTATAAGGGCTTATTTGACATTTTTATGTAAGTTCGAGGGCTTATTTGACCATTTTCCCTTAAAACAAAGACTTGAAGTTTGGTCACCGGATTACCGCCGCCTGACCCGTGCTGGTAGTTGGACTGCCGCCACCGGACTGCGTCACCTTGGTTGGTGGTAAAAACGTAATGCTTAATTCTATTTAGGGAATACCAAGTATAAAACCTGGACTCGTGTTTGGAAATTTTAATCAAATTTTAATCCTATTTAGAGTTGAAGTATGAGATGATTAGGCAGGTGAGGAGTAGTAGAGTGTGGGAGTGAAGCTTTATGTGTAGGGCAAAATGCAGTCATCTTTATTTGAAAAACATCATCATGATTCATGTTCACTAATTCAACATAAAAAACCAAGTCATCAACCCTAAAAGTGACAAGGTCAGGCTGGGAGCGCTTCTCTCACTTTTCGCGGTCCCAATTTCACAATCACCACCGCTAACAAAATATTTTAATACTCCCTTCGTCCCTTAAAAGTATGTCAAATTTGACCAGCACGTAAAATAATAAAGTAAAAACTGTGTGGTAGATATTTGTGCAGAGAAGAGAAAAATAATAAGAGCTAGAAATTGATTGATTAAAAGGGAAATTGCAAAGTTTTTGGGACAACAAAAAAGGAAAGTTGGCAAAGTTATAAGAGACGGATGGAGTATCTATCTTTGATTATGTTACATTACAATATATAATACTCCCTCCGTCCCGAATTGAATTGCAAATTTTGACCAGCACAAGGATTAAGAAATGACAATAAATGATGCTTGTTTTTTACATTTTTGTTCATCTTTCTAAAAGTAGATGCTTTTAAGTTAATGAGAAAAAAGTAAAAGTAAGTGTAAATTTTTCACTTTATTCTTATTTACATACCTAAAATAGAAAGTTGAAAACTATTTTGGGACAAATAAAAATGGAAATTTTGCAAATCTAATTGGGACGGAAGGAGTAGTAGGTAATTGATTAGCCGGAAGTGATCGATATTGCGCACAAAAGCACATAAAAATTCTATTCAATACATAAAACAATCGACATAAAATGGATATGCATGTCACGAATCGAAGGATTGACACTTAGGGTCTATTTACTAACAGAGATATTTTTCAGTTTTTCAGAATTGTATTAACATGTTTTTAGATTTGAAAATGGAAAACTAAAGAGTGAAAACAAAAAATTGGATATAAAAAAACTGGAAAATGAAAACAGAAAATTGAAGAATTGAAAACAAAAATAGAAAACAGTAAAATATCTCTGTTAGTAAAGATGTCCTTACTTTTTCCTCCTAAATCTTCAAAAGGCGGATTTGAAAATAAATATCTCTAACTCATACTCTTTCATACGTCCCTTATGATTTTGTCAAGTTTGACTAATATGAGAAACAATAAAAGAAAAAACTTTATGATTGATGTTTGTGTAAATGAGAGAGAAAAATGGGAGTTACGAACTCATTAACTAGAAGGAAAAGTGAAAAAGTTTTTGCGACATCCAGAAAAGAAAAGTGACAAAATTATTAGAGAAGAACAGAGTATTAATCTATTAATGCTTTAATAGATAATTGCGAGTTCTTTTTGTTATGTTCCTCCTCTGATTGGGTGTTAAATTTGTTTTTTTTACACTCACTCCGCTATGTCGTGTCTTTCTCATTTCAATTATAAATATACTGTTGGAAAAAACTCCGGACTTTCCCGCTTCGTGAAGTTAAGATAGGCACATAGGAATTAAGATGGTAATGGGAGCACAAGATTTAAATTCTCCAATATGAAGATTCTTCCACTATACAAAAGAATAGTAGGATTTACAAGAATGTTACAAAATTGTTTCACTCAATGGTGACTCACTCAAGCTTGAGGATATGAACTTCCCAAGCTAACTCTCTTATCTCTCAAAGAGGCTTTCTAACCTTCTAGCTTTCTCACTCTAGGAAGTGACTTTTCTCTTGCTATGATTGCTAGGATAGTTAGGAATGGAGGCTCCTACTCCTATTTATACTACTCCATCTTCATAATGAGTGGCGGGGAATAGTTTTCTAGAATGATCTACACATGACTACCGATTCTAGAGAATTCCAAGAAATTTCTACACCTCTCCATTCCCTTCCATATGTTTCCATACTCTTCCATAAGCTTTTGAAAGGTTCCACACATCTCCAGAATATTCTAGAGGATTCAACACTATTCCGCAAGCTTGTAGAGAGTTCTAAATCTCTAAGATTCTCCGCAACATTCTAGAAAATTCTATACTTCTCTAGAAAGCTCTAGAACTTTTCTAGAACCTCTTCAATTAAGGAGGGATCCCAACATACAGTGGAGGACCTAAGGGGGGGTTAGGTGAGGTACGTGCTCCCGCTTCGGACCCAGAAATTCAATAGTAGCACTTAAGGTAAAAACAAGTGCCCCACTTTGGGCCCAATGTGTTTATTATAGACTAATTTTAGTGTCTAGTGTGTCTCCGCTCTCATTAATCTCTGGGTCCGTCACTGCCAACATATACATAGATAATGTAGGAAAAATTGTATATGTAGACTTATTATACTCCTTCTATCACACTGACTTTAGCACTCTTTCTTTTTTGTTCGTTTCAAAATAATCAATGGGGATGCTTTAGAGTAATTTGTAAAATAATGAATTTGTGGTTGAACCTTCTCCGCACAAAGTTCATGTCACAACCGTGTGGGTGTCTAATATGACGGGTCATAAGCGTTAACAATTTCTTCATGTACTTTAATTCCCCATTCATATCGCATTAGAAAATTTGGTAGGGTACCTATATTTAAAATAAGAGAATGTGGAGGCTAGGAATTGTGGGATTCATGATGGGAATACCAAAGATCATCTATTAGGCCATGTTTTTTCAGATATAAATATTTTAGTATGATCTATCACTTTTCTTCAATAATTAGAAAATGACCTTTTCGATAATTTAGGTTAAGAAGTTAATAAAAGAAGAAAATATGTTAAGATACAGCCACAGTGCTGTAACAAAAATGAAAAAATTTCCTTACAAGAATGTACGTACATCATTATATATAGTGAATTAATTACAATAGGTTGGACCCGATGTGAACAGCAGTGAATGTAGACCATAAAGTATGGTTGCTAAAACGTTCTTTCCAAGTTTCTATCTACCATTTATTCTGAGTTTTGAAAGTCACGTGAATCTCTGCGTTCTTATTATAATTCAAACTTCACTTCTTGCCCGCCCTTACAACCACCCATCCGTTGATTAATCATCTCTCCCTCAGACCAGACCCCATCATCCCCAAAGTCTCGATTTTTATTTTGAAAAAACAAGAAACATAAAATCCCAGAGTTTTTCTTTGGGTATTTCTCGATTCCCGAGACAAGCAGTTTTCGTGTGACCCAATTCTTGATCATTAAATTCGGGTTGATCGGGGTTTTTATAATCTTGAGGATAGTAAGGTCTAAACCAGAGGAGAAGGCTTGAATTGGGTTATTGGGTATCTTGTGAAAATCTCCAGAGCTGCCGTTGAAGCGTGAAAAAGCTTCCCCTTTTCGTGGTCTCCCCTTTCTTTTTAATATATACTCTTCCCCAAAAAAGTCGTCTTTTTTCATATAGCATGCCGGAGCTGGGGAGGGTTCATAATGCAACAGAATATGAGGAAGAAATCTAATGAATCATCAAAGCCCAAAGAAAGACATATTGTTTCTTGGTCTCAAGAGGTCAGCTTTTTATTTGTTTAATATTTTATTTTCTGCTACTTCAGTTTCTTGATTTTGCTGTTTTGATCTAATGTCCTGTTCAGCTAGTGTAATGTGGTGATTTTATATTTTTGGATTCAGGAAGATGATATACTAAGAGAGCAGATTAGAGTCCACGGAACTGACAAGTAAGAGTCTTTAGATGTTTGATTGCTTTTACGTACTGATAATGACATGTTATTTTCCAACTTTATTAATGGGTAATGATTTCATGAGGAAATTAAGGTTCTTTTTGTGTTTTTCTTCCATATTTTTATTTGTAAATGCAGCTGGACTACCATAGCATCAAAGTTTAAGGACAAAACCACCAGGCAATGTAGAAGAAGGTTTGTTTAAGTCTAACATATGCATTTTCTATGTATTAATATTTAGTTTTTTACGTTCTATGTTATTCTGGGCTTCTATTTCTTATGTTTTATCATTCGTGGGTGGTGCATTCAAAGATTTTAAAGGGAAAGATCTGCAATACATTAGGGAGAATATTTTCTCTTTTAAATAAATATCTTCTACGGAGATTTTCGGTGTTCACATTATGATGATGATGATGATCTGTTATGTGGATTTAACTTTTGTTTGAAATATATTGTTTTAATGATTAATAATACACTCCTCTCCTATTTTGTAAGATATACATTTCTTTTTGGATTGTCCAAAAAACACGAACACTTTTTTATTCTAAATTGAAGTGCACTAAAGGTTTAATTCTACTTTATCCATTTGCCTATCATTTCACCCCTTCTACTGTTTGTGGATTCATACTATATTTTCTTACTTTTTGGATGCTACAATTGTAAACAAACAACTATATCTCGTATATTCTTAAAATCCTAGCCAAACATATTAAATTTTGGGACTGGGGGATTAACTTAATGTGTACCTCACCTAGAAATGTTGATACTAAATGTCTACCTAGATATCGCTCTATAAAATAGTCTCAGTTAGAGCTGTGATATGTGAAAATGCTTTTGTAGATGGTTTACTTATTTGAACTCTGATTTCAAAAGGGGAGGATGGTCTCCAGAAGAAGACATGCTCTTATGTGAGGTAAAAAAAATTAATAGAGCTACTTTAATCTCTTAAAGAAGTATTTTTAACCTTTGATATTATTATTCTTGATTTCGTGGCTTTTTAAAAAATTATCTATTTAGTTACCTTCTTTGATAATATTAATCAGACATTATCTTCAGGCTCAGAGGATGTATGGCAACAGATGGACTGAAATTGCCAAGGTGGTATCAGGCAGGTAATAAAATCTTTTTGTGTTGCGTTTTTTCTTTTACATTGAGCTAGAAGGTTTAATATTGCTAGAAATCCTTTTCTCAACTGTCAAAACAGAACCGATAATGCTGTGAAGAATAGGTTCAATACCCTTTGCAGAAAGAGAGCAAGAAATGAGGCGTTAGCAAAAGAGAACAGTAACTCTTCATCTGTTGATGTGAATAACAGAAGGGATGTTTTACCTGGTTGGATCAATGATGATAGCATTTCAGAATCAACAGAATGCCTTAAGAAGCAGAGGTAAAAAAGAGTTGGCAAGTTTCAAATGCACATGATCACACCTTTTGTAATAAATAGCCCTTTTGTCAGTTTCTTATTTGCCTTCTGGCTTTATATTCCTATTATGATTACAGCTCTTGTAATAGCTATACCAAGGGTCTTAAATATTGATTAATAATTATATTTAAAGAATTAATTCATGTGTATCTTGACAAGGACAGATGTCGACTATTCTACCTTAAGCTAGCTTGTTTTGTTCTTCCTCTCTTGTTCCCCCCCACTAGATCTAAACCGATTGTAGGTCAAACTCTTCTTCTTATCAGCAGAAAAAGTAGCTTCTGAGAAGGATGTTACCAAAGACTTCTCATTTCTGAAAACTCAGGCATTATTCGACTTAATTTTGCTAAAGATGTTTGTTGAACATGTTGTTGAACATTTCAAAAAGAAATTATAACTTTTTAATAAACTAAATGAAATAATACTCCCTAGCTTATAGATTAGTGTAGAAAAGCTATTTGCCCCTATTTCTGTAAAAAAACAAAGTAATGGGTAGGAGACCTAGGATCACACATTGATGAAAAAGATATAATTGAAATCAGAAGGATTTGGCATAAATGTATAACATTACTGTTTTGGCATGTAGGAGGAGTCACTTTTCAGAACCCCTGGGAAATTCCAAGAATGGGGGAAAGTCTCTTGTCAGTTGTGATTCACCAAATCATCAGCTAAGAACTCCTTTGACTGTTCTATCTCAAAACTTACCTAGTCTTGGGGGAAACTTATCCAGTCATCAGAGTGCCAGAGACATCCCCAATGGTAAGACTCATCACCTGTAATTATATGTTTGAGTGTTCCTGTGTTTGTAGGCCTTATTTAAAATTCAGAATATTTTATTTCACCATTATCTATGTAAATCAATTAAATCTTTTCAGTTAATACTATGGTCATGTTCCATGGTGTCAAATGTTGGTTATACAAATGCCATTTTTGTGATGTCATATCACTACATAACAAGAATTCTCAACTCATATGTGGTTGTCCTACATTTTCATTCACATGTCATATGATATGTGGTTGTACTGCATTCATATCATAGTCAACTTAGTTTCTTATGTTTGGTTTTACGCCGAGAAATGTACAGCAAAAGGAAATATGATGATAAATTTGTCATTAAATAATAGCCCAAATGTATAAAATAAATTTATGAGTAAAATTTTAGTGCATGTTCGGTAATACTTTGTATGTATTTTTTCTTATCATCCGTATCAACTTAAATTTTAGCAAACATTAAGTTCTTATTCTGAGCGCAGAATTGTATAACAACTTTATTTCATTTATCATATAGTTTTGTCTTTCTTTTATTGATAAAAATATATGGAGTATATTAAATATCATTGTTACATAATACAGCGTATTCATCTATTTCAGTAACCAATTTCAGTGTTACCGAATGGACTCCTTAACCTATCATTTATTGGGTTATCTAACATAGTTGTGGAAAAAATACCACAATAGTCAATGTGCTGCAAATGTCATATTTTTATCTGATATTACATTTTACTTATATTTTTGCCATTATTTCATCATTCATCCATAAATTTATTGACAAACACATTTTCCTTTCCACCATATTTATTTCCCAATTTTCCCTAATGTTTTGCGGGCTCTGAACAGACCCCAAAAGAAATTTAGTAAGTTCACAGTTTTAAACTAAATATAAACAGTTAGTTCATTGTCACTACAAAGACTTAAACCCTAAAATAATTGAGCTTATTAAGGTGATGATGATTATTACAGCTTATCACACAGGATTTAACAATAATAAAAATGAGGGAACATTTCTTAAGAAGGACGATCCGAAGATGATGGCTCTAATGAAACAAGAAGAACTGTTAAACTCAATGGCACTCAAGGCTAATTCTCATGAAAGCACATTCCAGAAGAATCTTGAAAGCTCTTGCCAGGTCGGCTGCGACAGCTTGCTGTTGTGCAGCCAGACTGGGCTATCTCAAGAGACTGGTGCAGGAAGTTCTGAATATAGTACTGGATCAACTTCAGTATGTGATGAATTTGATAAATTGGTTTCTTGCAATATTGCTTCTTCTACTGCACAAGGTATCATTTTTAATGAAGATTTTGCAAGTTATTATTTTATAAAGAGATCATTGATTGAAGCCACTTTCATGCTTAATAATAACATTGGTTTATTCCAGTTGATTTCTTTCCAGCTTATGACATAGTTAAATCCAATGATGAGACTATAAGTGAGTATCCAAACGAAGAATTCAGATCCCCTCTTCAAGTAGCTCCAGTTTTCAGATCACTAGCTGCTGGTATTCCCAGCCCCAAATTTTCAGAAAGTGTAAGCAAATCTATTTTTTTAAAATCAATACGTACATTATCCCCAATTGAAAGTATAAGGAGCCAGACAAATAAATATATTTTATTTGGCAGTCGTGGATGACTTAAAATGGCCATAGTGGTTTCATTCGACCAGACCAATCTTAATCTTGAAACCAGTATTGACTTTTTGAGTCTTACCCGGATCAAGTTGCTCATTTTAATTTTTATACCTTGGGGTGTTAGATAAATAACTCAACATAGAGAAATGACATCCTTTTTTCAAATGAAGCTAGGAAGATCTTGAAATGTTTTAATTTCAATGAAATTGCAACCAAACTTAAATTTCATAAATATCTAGTGTCATTAAAGTTGTTGACATTGTCCTCATTTATTTATTCTTTTCAGGAGAGACAATTCTTGATAAAAACACTTGGAATGGAATCTACATCATCAAATACCAACATCACCTCTTCTCATCCCCCATTGTGCAAGAGAGCCCTCCTCCACAGTCTATGATCACCATCTGAATGACCCTTTATCCCAATTTTCAGGCATGCATGGCTAGGTGTTTTTTCTTTCCTATCAGTCCTGTTTGCTTCCCTCGGATTGCTGTTAAGTTTGACAATCCGGTGGTCCATAACTAGAATGCTAAGGAGCATCCTAGTTTTTTTTCAAGAACTGTTTTTGTCACATTCTTTTTGTGTGTTTATGCGGGGGCATGGATAGGGCATATCCACTGTCTTCCCCGTATTATTATTTTACAGGCATTACTCTTATGCCTATTGTACAAAAACATACAGCGTAGTTAGTGATTGGCACATCGCCAATATTACTCCCTCATATATAATAGAATATATATAGAATAGTGAATGAAGGAATTGGAACTCAAAAAAAAGATGAGGATATAGATATATAGAATAGAGGAGGATCAACTAGTTGTGAAGTGGACTTCCTTTGGTATATTTGTTTTTGTGTGCAGAATTATTAGATAAATAAGGTTTGTGGTTTTCCATTCTCTTCCTCTCTTATCAATATGTAACATTTTAGTTCATATTTATTGTAACAGTTCGTCCAATATGTGTTTGGTGTGTCCTTCACTACTTGAACATGTATATGAAGGTGCCTAAAGTTTTAAGCTGTTACTCATAAAACAGTCTCACAAAGCATTTTTAATTCTGCAAATTTAATGATGTTACTCAAACAGTCCTGATTGTAAAGGCTCTTTAAGTGTAAAAAGTCAGTTAACCAATTGGTAAAACATGTGGGGAAGTTGGGGTATAGATTATCCAGTTTTGGTTTCGAGGAATTGGATCGAAATCCACTGGTTAGAATCATGGTTTTTTATTTTTAAATTCTTTTAGAACAAAATAAGCAGAATGGACTCAGAATCGGAAAGGGTTCATCTGGGTAGGATTCTTGTTTCTGCATCACCCTTACTTGGAACCATACTATAACAGAGGTTTTGGTTCATCCTTACTTATAATGACGTGTGAATTACAATTTTGAACACTGCTATCTTGATTTTACCTAGAGTTTTGAGTCAATAAAAGTAAAAATAGGATTTTATTCTTTTCACCTATTCTTTAGTATTTATGTATAGATAAATGCTATAGGTATCCCAAATTTGTAACACCTCCCAGGTGTACACATGCGATTCGTTTATAAAATGGCAGATTTTTCTGTCAAATTGTCTGTGTACACAGATAGTGTACACTTTGTGTACAAATTTGGGGCACACCAAGCATTCCTCTTATGTATATTTCATTAGGCCAAGGAGACCAATATTAGACAAGACTTGAATTTGATCAGATAATCACATATTAGACAAAAAATCAGAATAATTTGAATGATTCCCACCATACAAGACCTAAAAAGAGAACATGTCCCAACTCCTATCACATAAATCATAATAAATTGATCGCACTGTTCTGGAGATGCAACAAAAGAATCCATCACACCCACCAGTTGGTAGGATTTACTACTAAATGTTCATTGAAGTGTTGAAGAAATTGGTATTAAATAAACCAGAAGGTACTTTCTCTTATTGAACTTGATGGAATAAATGAAATAAAACAATAGTAATCTCACATTACAATTTACATATTCTTTAATTTATCAAGATGATGATCCTTTCTTTAGCGTTTATCATGAGATGTTATCAGTTTGACATAATAGAACGTACAATAATATGAATTTTTTATTTTTAAACTTTATATAAAAAGAAATCTAAAAATGTAAAATATCTGTTTCGCTTCTCTTTCACTTGAAAGTTGATATAAAATACGAAAGATTCCTGTTTTTTGGTACAAAAACAGACTCCAACCTAATAACATATTCTAAATTTCGAATTGCTTTTTGAAGTGCAAAAATGTGAGATATTAATTAAATCTACTTTACAACTCCCATGCAAATTGCTATAATGTTACACCAATGCTAAACACAATTTATACCTTACCCTCATTCATGTATATAATTTTGTGTGTGCATATGCATATATTTGATGCGGATCATTATATATAATTTTGTGTGTGTGCATATGTATATATTTGATGCGGATCATTCTCATGTAAGTTGTGAATGGTCACGTTTGAACTTTGATCCAACCATGCCAAAAATGTAGTGAATAAAAAGGCATGATGGAAATTTGGTAATGTAATTGTATATTGCTATGTTATATGCAAAAATAGTTGAAAAATCATAAACCACTATTTTCAAAATTTAATTGTAAAGTTAATTGGAACACCATGAATTTAAATTTCAAGCCCAACATTGCTACTTTACTTTTTTAATACATTGGTGCATTTTATGTTGGAGACTCACTACAAAAAAATTCACCTGTAGTTACGGACCTGGTCACGGACTGCAGTGTAAAATGTGATGATGGATAGTGTACCCGGGGGTAACTTATCCGAGGGGTTATTACGGGGAATGACAAGAGAGAAGTCAGAGCAAGTATAGAGAGAGAAAGTATATTAGTGAATATTCATCGTGTTGTGTCTTGGTTACAAATGGGGAAATGGGGTGCTATTTATAGTAGCAATAAATGCCGGACAGGGACACGTGTCAAGCGTCCATTGGCCGAGAGGTCACCTCAACTGGTTGGCGCTGACAAACGCATGTGGCTGCATTTAATGCGGCTGTTGGATGGGACGTTGTACAGGGTAAGGTGATCCATACGCATGTGGAGCGGATATTGTGTCGGAAAAGGCGCCCTCGGCAGTAGATGACTAGCTGAGGGCTCTGAGTACCGGGGACCCCCTTAGTGCCGAGGGCTCCAACTGCCGAGGGCTACTGATTTTCGCCGTTTTTCCCAGTAACTTTGTTTTCCTGTCTTGACCCTCCTGTGAGAGTTAGAGCCTTCGGCCAGGGGGCCGAAGGCACCCCTGGTGCGCATTGTGGGCTGCTTCGTACTTTGGGCGCGGTGATTCGGGCCTGTTGTGCTTTCTGGGTCTGTTGGGCCTTCATTAGAGTAGTAGAAGTCTGTGGGTCGGGGGTTCCCGGGCCATATACTCCATCAAGAGTCCCTCACTCCTTTTGCCGAAAGGTACTTGAGGGAAAAGGAGTAATTGTGTTTGTCCTCTGCCGTTGTTCCGTTGTAGTTTGTGGTGTTGTGGGTAGTTTGCTGTTTGTTTATTCTGCCGAGGGCAGTCCCTCAGTTACCCACATGTCGGGACTTGAGGGGTCATGTTTGTGATTTTTGTGATTTTTCCCGGGGGGGTCTCCAGTCCCCCACTCCTTGAGGCACTTGCAAAGTGGTGAAAAGGAGTAGAGTAGTTGCGTTGCTGTTTTGGGCCAAAGGCTGACGTTTTTCGTTTCATTTTGGGGGGATGCCTCGTTAAAAACCTCATTAGGAAAAACCCTGTGGGAAAAATCCTAATGAGGGAAAAAGAGTGCACCGAATTCCCCCAACGATGAATCGAAAGTGTGAAACCTTGGTTCGAAATGGAGAATAATGCTGATGCCGAAGGCTTTCCTTGTTCTGAGGGCTCATGTGTTGATTAGCCGGGGGCATGCTGTTGATTTCCTGGGAGGTGCCGAAGGGAAGTCCCTCAATCTGGGGATCGAGGGCGTCATGAATGTGAGTAGCAGTTGAAGCGTCACCGGGGTGCCCCCTGTTTGTTGTTCAGTTGGGGAGAAGGGTATCCGAGGGCTCCCGTGACCTGTGTGCCGTAGACTACTTGTTAATGAGGCGTACTCCCCGGGGGCTACCCGGTCCTCAAAGTGCTGAGGGGGAATCCCTGAGGGGTGGGCCTGTTATGAAGCCGGGGGCTTCTGAAGGAGTGATCCCGAAGACATTTGTCATGTACTGTGTGGGACACAACCCGGGAGCGTCTCTGGGTAAGTGTACCCGGAGGCTCTCCTTGATGAAGTGGAGTGAACTAAAAACCTGGGGGCCAGTTTATTGGTTGATGAAGGAGTGGTCTGCCAAGTGTAGCCGGGAGCTCCCGGAATATAGCCGTTGGAAATATAGCCGTTGGAATATCTAACGTCAGAATATAGCCGTTGGGGGGGGGGGGGCTGCCACGTGGTGTGTGCTCGTTGGCTGCCCGTGGGCGGGCGTCACCGATTGGGCGAAACCACGGATTGTAATGATGGCAATCCAACCGAAGGCCCGGTTTCCAGGCCCAAGCCCGGATCCCAGCGCCTATAAATACCCCATGGCCGGCTTCACTTCCCATGTGCGATTTATCCGTTAGCGAAGCTCTGCCAAAATTCCTAGAGAGAGAAACAGCCACCTTCGATCAATCCCCGCTTTAAGGTCAGTTCCCCATCTGTTCTTCTCCCTCCTTAGCTAGCTGTAGCGGCCTTAGATCTAGGAGTTGTAACTTAGAAAACTTAGCGTTTCCGAGCCCTCGAACCAGTGCAAAGATGTCTTCCCAAAGTGATTCCCAGGACATCTCGGGGGCGCCCTCGATGGAGAATGAAGTCAACTCGGACGTGGAGTCCTCAAGCGAACAGCCCTCGGTGGGACAAGATGCTGTCGTCGCCATGGAGCTGCAGAAAGCCCTCGTTGCTGAGGCGGAAGCCGAGGGCTTCGAACAAGAGTGTGAAGACGAAGAGCTGGCCCTCGCCTGGCAAGCAGCTGAGGAAGAGGCGCAACAAGAGGGGGCGAGGGTCACCGTCGCTGTTCTCCCCCCTCGAGGAACTGGTAAGGCCAGCACCTCTCGGCCGCTGAACGCGGTTCCCATCCGGGTGGCCCCTGGAAAAAAGAAGGCGAAGGTTGGTGCTCCCAAGAAGAAGGGCAGCGCCGCAGACCAAGGGAAGCCCCTCGATATGCCCGAGGGGTATTCCTACTTGAATACCGCCGCCTTAGAGATAAGGTCGAAAGCTGATGCGGCGGATCTCTATGTCACTCAATTACACGTGGGCCCCTCGGCCATCGTGGTGGCACCGGGTCCCGATGACGTCCTCTCCTGGGCTCCCGAGGGCTGCATTGCGATGCACATCCTCTCCGTGTTGATGGGGCTCCGGTTCCCCCTACACCCCTTCCTCCGGGAGTACCTCCGGTTCGTGGGTTTGGTCCTCTGCCAACTGACCCCGAACAGCCACTCCTACATCACGGGCTTCCTCCAGCTCTGCAAATCCCGGGGGGTAACACCTAGCCTGGATTTGTTCTTCCAAAGTTTCAACCTGTGCCGGGGGGGACATGCGAATGCCGAGGGCTTCGCAAATTTGCAGCAGGTGGCCCTGTTCAAGCTTTTTACTAAGGCGCCCTCCTCGAACAAAGGGTGGAAAGACCGGTGGTGCTACGTGAAGTTGTCCGAGAGCCCCTTCCCGAGGGAATTGCGTGTCCAGTTTAGGAGGCATGAGAAGAGGAGGAGCGCCGCCCTCGAGAAAGATGGCAGGATCCTGGCAAAGATCCCGGAGGGCCGGGACAAAAACATAGCCATCAAGGAGTGCACCCAAGAGGAGGACCTCTACACCCTCGGGTTCCGGCGGTATCCCTTCCTGGGGGAAACAGATGAAAAGTTCCCGGCATTTGAGGGAGCCTCCGGAGGTAGTGGCTGAGGGCACCCTCATTTTCGTATTTCAGCACATAGTTCGTTTGTTGTTTGTTTTTTTTCCTGTGCCATCTGTTAGTGACCCGTCGGCCTAATCCCATATTGTTTTTCAGGTATCCCAGTCAATATGATGAACGTCCGAGGGCTTGCTGACCTTAAGAAGAAGAAGTCTTCCAAGGTCCCGAAGGGGACGGATGCCGGCATCCCTAAACCCGTCGGTGACTTCTTTAAGAAGCCGGAGGGGCCGTCGGCGGCCCCAAATGCTGGTGCTGCCGCTGCCGCGAAGAGAAAAGCAGCGGCCAAGGCTCCCGAGGGCAAAAGGCCAAAGACGGGAGATGCCGGGAGGAAGGGTCCCCCGTGGTTATTGTTGATGATTGCCCTGCCTCCGGGACGCATGATGAGGAGATGACGGTGGCGGAAGTACCGGGGGGTGTCCGGGAGCCATCTTCCGAGGTCCTGACGGTTTCCCACCCGGTAGGAACGGCCGTGATGAATTGCACGGCTGACCCGAGGGTGCTTCTGAGGGGTATGACCCCTGAGATTGACAGAGCCGCCCTCGGGGCTGATGATGACCAAGCCCTCGAGGACAAGATCCTCCGGTCTTCCCTCACGGTAAGTTTTTGACCGTTTACCGTTTTTACTTTGTGCTAGGCCCGGAGGCTAGAGGAGTGGCGTCTGCGCAAGGCCGAGCACGATGCCAAGATGCGGGAGCTCATCCGCCAGAATTCCGATGCCATCCGGTAGATGGCTATGCTGGAGGAGAGCCTTCGGCAGATGACCCTGCGGGCGGAGGCCGCAGACCGGAGCAAGGCCGAGGCTGAGAGGTCCGCAGCTGAGGCCCTTAAGAGAGCTGCTAGGGAGGCCGAGGCCGCCAAGGCGGACGCCGTCGAGAAAGCCCGGGGGGACGCCATCTCTGATTTTTTGGCAGGGGGTGGCGAGCAGAGGGGCACAAACAATGGTTGTCCGCGGTCGTGGAGTCCTCGGTCGACAAGTGGTGCGATGGGCCCGATGTGGAGTGGGTTTCTCGAAAGGGTAAACAGTACTATGATGGGGGTGAGTTTTTTACTCAAGCCCTCATCTACCGGAGGATGGCCCGCCACCTGAAGATTGAGCAAAAGGATTTTGACCCGGCAGCGTACGGACTTCCCCCCTGCAGCCAGATGTCCGTGTTCCTCTCCCATCAGATGTCGAGAGGCCAGACTTGGAAGACACCGAGCTGATGAAGGAGGCCGAGGGTGACGAACCTGAGGCCGGCGCGGAGGTCACTTCAAAGCCTTCGGAAGAGACGGCCCCCGGGGATGTTAATGTGTAATTTTTTATTTATAACATTCTGAACAATCCGTCTGTAATGAATGGTTGTATGCCCTCGGCCTTCGGCCCTCTGTAATGTACACTTGAATTTCTTTTCTTTGATGAATGAGTACATGCCTTCGGGCTTTTGGTATATAATGTGTTTCCCTTGACTGTTTTTCTTTGAATGTATGCTCTCGTGTTTTTTTTTTGAATGTATGCCTTCGCCCTTCTTTGAATGTATGCCTTCGCTTTCCTGAATGTATGTTTAGGACTTAGAATATATTCTTCCAAATGTAGTGCTTCTCATAGCCCTCGGCCACTAAGTACATTGAGTCAGTTGAACCTTTCACCGAGGGCACAATGTTCAGGACTTAGAAATATTTCTAAGTGTTTGTTCATCTGTTGGCCCCCGGCCGGTTCCTTCCCTCTGGTTCCATGTAGCCTTCGTGAGATAGACGGAGGCGAGGTGCTTAGGACTTAGAAATTTTTTCTAAGTGTTTGAATACAGTTTAGCCTTCGGTAGTTGGGTACCCTTCGCTGGCTGGACATATGACCGAGGGCCCAGAAATAGTCAGAACTTAGAATATTTTTCTAAGTATACTTTCACCAAGTCCTCATCCGTATGCCCTCGGGCTGCATGGAGATTTGACCGAGGGTATAAACCTCTGGGACTTAGAAATTTTTCTAAGTGTAGTATGTATGAAGTAGGAGCCCCCGGGCAGCATGGAGATTTGACCGAGGGTCAAAATATGCAGGACTTAGAAATTTTTTCTAAGTGTAGCTTCACCAAGTCTTCAACCGTATGGCCCCTCGGGCAGCATGGAGATTTGACCGAGGGCCAAAATATGTAGGACTTAGAAATTTTTTCTAAGTGTAGTTTCACCAAGTCTTCAACCGTATGGCCCCTCGGGCAGCATGGAGATTTGACCGAGGGCCAAAATATGTAGGACTTAGAAAAATTTTCCAAGTGTAGTATGTGTGAAGTAGGAGCCCTCGGGTGACTGTGAGAGCCTTGTCTCAGATATGCCTTCGGTTGACTGGCGGCTCCACAAGGGGCAAAGCATTTAGGACTTAGATTTTTTTTATAAGAATTTCCTGTTGCTGGCCTTCGGGGGGACCCTTCGGCTGTATACGTTATAGGTTTATGATAGTTCCCTTTGCCTTGCAATGCTGGCCTGTGGTAATAAAAGCCTTCGGTTGTTTGTTATATCCCCTCGGCATGTAGTGAGGTGCCGGAGGTGATTCTTGATTTGGTTTGGCCACATCCGATAGCTTTGTCATATAGTACCCTTCGGGGACGCTTTGAGTTGCTGTTGGCTGAGCCTGTCATGTTTTGTAGTATTTGAGCCTTCGGTTTTAGGTATAGCCGGAGGCAATCCTTGAGTGGACTTAGCCATTTGTTGATGATGTCTGTTGTGAATGGTATCCTTTGTACCTGTGAGCTTTCAGGTACCGAAGGTGTTCCCGTGGGGAGCCCTCGGTATGTTTCTGTGAATTGTTGGAGTGATGTACTCATTGATTTCTCGCCGAGTCTACTCCCCTTCACCACCCCATTTTTTTTTGAGTAGTGAAGGGAAGGCTTCAAGAAACTTGGTTTCTTGGTAAGGCTTGGCCTATCGGGAGGTAACAGAATACACCATTAGCTCCCCCCTCGGGTTAACCTTCCGAGTTCCGAGGGGATCGAGGGTCGTTTCCTGGGCACAAGATATGGTGGTCTGTATCCTGCCTCCCCTTGGGGGATGGTGCGGAAAGCGCCTCAGTTTTGAAAGTCGTCCCCTCGGCGCTAGACATAGTCTGTGGCCTGCCACACCCTTGGGGTGGTGGCGCGGGGAGCGTTTCGGTTTGGAAGTCGAATCCTGGGCATTTATCGTGCCTGTCATACCCTTGGGGTGATGACGCGGAAAGCGTTCCGTTTTTTAAAGTCGAATCCTGGGCATTTCTCGTGCCTGTCATACCCTTGGGGTGATGACGCGGAAAGCGTTTCAGGGAAGGGTTTTCATTTGCACACTGGTTACAAATGGCCGGGTGCACTACGTGCTGCCGGCACCGAGAGGTGGCGCCTTTGGTATAGGCGTCCTCGAGAGGTACGACTTAGAAACAACACTTGGTGTTTGTTCCGATGTACGACCCCCGGTACTTGGTACCGAGGGGTCTTCTGTGAAAACGCTTGGCGTTTTTCCTTCATTTGTCGTAGGGGATTGTGATGTCTACCCTCGGTACTTGGTACCGAGGGGTCTTCTGTGGGAACACTTGGTGTTTCTTCCCACTTGTTGGAGGTGATTTTGTCGTCTACCCTCGGTACTTGGTACCGAGGGGTCTTCTGTGGAAACACTTGGTGTTTCTCCCCGATTGTTGAAGGGGATTGTGTTATCTACCCTCGGTACTTGGTACCCAAGGGTCTTCTGTGGAAACACTTGGTGTTTCTTCTCATTTGTTGAAAGCTGCTAGTGGCGTGTCCCCCCGGCACCAGGTGCCGAGGGGTTTCCTTTTGGGGACAGGTGGTGCTTTGTCGTAGGTGATAGTATTTTCTACCCTCGGCACTTGGTGCTGAGGGTTCTTCTATTGTGGTGAGGCCTTGGGCCTGGGGGTGATATGAGGGCTTGGCCCTTGTGATAATCTTGTTCCGTGTTCTCAGTGTCTTCAAAATGCCTTCATTCTTCAGAATTCTTAGGATTTGGGCCGTAAAACAATACATTCACTAGTTATGAGGGCTTGGCCGCTCTGATGTTATTGATAAAATTTAACTAAGTGATGTACATTCCAGTGCCTAGGGACTTCAGTCCCGTTAGGGCGTTTTAGCTTGTAAGTTCCGGGTTTGATGATGGCTGCCACGATGTAGGGGCCCTCGAACTTTGGTGCCATCTTCCCGCCCTCGGTTGGTTGGCTAGCTTCCCTTCTTCGGAGAACATAGTCCCCCACTTGGAATTCCCGAGAGCGAACCTTGGCATCAATGTAACTTTTCACTTGCCTTCGGTAGTTTTCCGCGCGCATGAAGGCTTGCTATAGGCGTTCTGAAATCAGCTGGAGGTCGAGGGCCATATTGGCGTCGTTGGCCTCTGGATCATATTGTATGACCCTTCGGGTTGGAAGTGTTACCTCGGTGGGGGCCTTGGCTTCAAATCCGTAGCAAAGGGAGAAGGGTGTCTCACCAGTTGCCCGCCGAGGGGTGGTACGGTAGGCCCATAAGATGTTGTGGAGCTCTTCTACCCAACCACACCCCCTTCGGCCTCCAGCTTCTTTTTTAGACCCTCCAGCAAGGTCCTGTTGGCGTTCTCCACTTGACCATTGCCCTGAGGGTAAGCAACAGATGAGAAGGTGTGTTTGATGCCCCATGCCTCTAGGAGGGCACAGAAGGGGGCTGCCTCAAACTGAGTCCCATTGTCGGAGATGATTTGCTGAGGGACGCCAAACCTGGTGAGGATGTTTTTGAGAACAAAATGACGGCACCTGGCCTCAGTGATGCTGGCGAGGGGCTCAGCTTCCACCCATTTGGTGAAGTAATCGATGGCGACGATGATGTATCTATTGTTGGAGGTACCCCTCGACAGAGGGCCCACAAGGTCTATGCCCCATCGAGCGAAGGGTATGGATTTGCTGATGGGGGCATAGTTGACCGCTGGCCTGCCGGGGGCTTTCTGGAACTGTTGGCATGCGGGACACCTCTGGGCAAGATCTGCACAATCCCGGACCATCGTAGGCCAGAAATAGCCCTGGATTATTAGCCTTCGGGACATGGAGAAGGGTCCCTGGTGAGCTGAGCAAGTGCCACTGTGTACTTCCTCCATTGCTACTTTGGCTTCATCTTGATGAAGGCACCGAAGCAACGTCCCGTTGTAGGACCATTTGTAAAGCCTCACGTCCTCGATAGTGTAGCTGGGAGCCCTCATCTTTGCCAGCTTGGCGCGGGCCTCATCCTCGGGCAGTTGCCCTGTGGTGATGAAGGCAACAATGTCCGAGATCCAGTCCTCCTGCCTTTGTTGTATATCCATGACGGGGCTAGCATGTATGCTAGAGAGGCTGAGTTCTTCTACTTTGGCAATCTTCGAGATATGCTTAGGGGATTCTGCCGAGAGCTTTGATAAAATGTCGGCCTCGGAGTTTTGAGCCCTCGATATTTGAGTAAGAGAGTGTGCCTCAAATACCTTAAGCAACTCCTTGGCCGCCTCCTTGTATTGCTTCATTCTCCCTTCCTTGGCTTCGTACTCCCCGGAGATTTGCCCGACGACTAACTTGGAGTCGCACTTGACGTGGATTTGTCGGGCCTTCATGTTAGCTGCCAGCCGAAGGCCACAGAGGAGAGCCTCGTATTCGGCTTCATTGTTGGAGACTTTGAAGGAGAAACGGACTGCATAATAGGCCCGGAAGCCCTCGGGTGAGATGAGAACCACCCCTCCTCCACATGCCTTGATGGCGGAGGAGCCGTCGGTGTAGAGGGTCCACCAATCATCTGAAAGGGCCGAGGGCTCCTCGTCCGTGGCTGCCCTTGCCGTACACTCCGTCACGAAGTCCGCTAGGGCTTGGCACTTGATGGTGGGCCTAGGACGGATGTCGATGTTGTATTGGCTCAAGAAGATAGCCCATTTTACCATTCGGGAGGAGCTAGTGGGGCTCCTCATCAAGGCGCCAAGGGGTTGGTGAGTGAGGACCTGGACCGGGTGAGCCTGGAAGTAATGGCCCAACTTCTTGACGGTCCACACGATAGCCAACACCATTTTTTCCACGGGGGAGTACTGGAGTTCCGCCTCCCTGAGGGTCTTGCTAACATAGAAGATGGCATGCTGGATGCCATCTTCTTCCCGGATGAGTACTGAGCTGATGGCAGCCGGGCTAACACCCAAGTAGAGGTACAAGATCTCCCCTACCTTGGGTTTAGAGAGCACAGGGGGTGAAGATAAGTACCGTTTCAGCTCCTCGAATGCCCCCTGACATTCTGAAGTCCACTGGAAACCGGCGGTTTTCCTCATGATCTGGAAGAAGGGTAAGGACTTCTCCGCCGATTTTGATAAGAAGCGATTGAGGGCTGCCAGGAGGCCCATCAATCATTGGACCTCCTTTACGTTGCGTGGGGGCTCCATGTTGATGATGG